AAAGAAAGAAAGAAAGAAAGAAAGAAAGAAAGAAAGAAAGAAAGAAAGAAAGAAAGAAAGCAGTAAATTAAGGCACTGTGGTTGGCAGCCACCTATGGTTTAGGATGATTTGCAAATCCAGAAATATGGTTCACCTTGGGCTCCAAAATCTAGACAACCATTAGGTGGCAGCAAAGATAGACAGAAAACTACTCTTTAATGTCATCTACTGGTCATCTAGATTTTTGCAGCTAAGATTTAACAGGTCTTAAACAAGCCATGACTTAATTAACTGTGTAAACCAGCCATTATTTCAACTAGTGATAAACCTAACCATAGTTTGCCTACATTTAGGCTTAAAGCTCAACTGCATTTAATCTAAAACAAAGCCAATACTAACTTCTCATGGCTAAGACAGATGAAAGAAAAATGAAAGGATACAGTTTTAGACTTGGGAATAAGTGTTCTTAAACATACAAGATCTTATTTCTGAATTGACATGTGTAAGACTGCATAGTACAGTAAATGTTTTTCACAATTAATTAGTGAAAAGGAAAATGCAGAAAGCACTAAAGAGATTCTCCAGTTTTTATGTTATCAAATCACATGTTTTGTTATTCACCTTGATGATAACCACAATTAATTAATGAGGTATATTTGATTTCTTCAAAACTAAACCTAGATCAAATGGACCGGTGGTTAGACTGGTAAAGAATTTCTTCATCATAACAATTCTTAGAAATTGGTGATATGCAACCTTTTGTGACTAAATGCTGCATGTGAGCTCTGAGTGGTAGATCAGAGGCTGCATGTTAAAATGGGAGCGGGGCAAAACAAAAATAATATTTGGTTTAATTTACATTAAATTTTAATTACAGTTAAATATCTACCATTATTACTCTTTACATATTTAATACATTTTCATTAAGTCAATATCACAGTTTGATGACAACTTTTAGAGGGGTTCTTGGAGACTGGCTCTATTGTACATGATTTTAGCTTGTGATAATGAGTCAGTAGAAATATTATGTATTAATATTCATCTTGTCTTATCATTCTTATCCAGTGATGTTTCAGGAGTGATGTATTACCCAAATTACTACCCTTTGGAGGGTAGTCACTGATATATTTTAATCTACAGGTTAAGCACTGATTGGAGTTCACAGACTAACATTCTACAACAGTGCCTGAGCTGTTCCCCTCATCAGATTGTAGGAAAGACACCACAAACACCTTTGCAGAGACATGGTGTTTGCAGAAGCATCCCAGTTCTTTGGCCCTCAGCTTGATATGTTTCAGCCTATAAGCTGATCTTGTTTGGTTTTTCATGCACCCAGACTCCAACAGAAACAAAAGTGGAGGGGGAAAATGTCCCATTTGCTGAACAATGATCCTTCTTCTTAGTTATGTAAAGGGCAGCCAGGTAGAATTCTTTAACCCAGTCTGCTAAACCTGTTCAGCCGCTCGAGTTTATTTCAACTGTTCTTGTTAAAATGGAGAAGGTGGGGGAAGGGACATTCAGATCAATTTACAAATTGTATAAACAGAATGTTTTGTTTTGCAAAGGTTAGCGATAGATCTAACCTTTGCAAAACCATGGATCTAGAAAAGTCCTTTAAATATCTCGTTTCTACAAGATGCAACATACTTATAATGATGATGATTTATTGCCCATCTTTGTAACCAAAAGGTATTCAGGGCAGATAAGAGTCCTATGTTTCTCTCATACACATTTCTTATTCGGACTACTTCTGACAATTTGTACATGTTTACTTCATGCGTGAATACAAAACAGATTTTTTTTCCTACACAGAACTGTCATTTTGTGTACGGTAATACGAATTTTTCAGAGTAACTGATGGAAGAGGAAGGATTAAAATCCAATCGATAGATGCCAAAGAAGGGCATCCTCTTGTAGGGTGGGGTGTGAGTCCCTATTTCCAAGATCAACATTCGTACATCTTTGGTCCTTCTTATTTTAGGTTATTTTTTAAATACTTTTGATCTCACGGTTTTAAGAAAAGTCTGTGTGTTATGGAAGAAGATGTTACCAATTCGGTCCCGAAGATCAATATTAACACTTGCGAATTTTGCGGCTCCAGAGCATTATATGACATCATTTCCTCACTGACTGATTCGCCAGGTCTATGAGAAGGGACCCTACAGGCTAGACTGACCGTACCGCTACGCCACCTCATTTCCTGGCAAACCTTCAGTCACGTGACTAGACTGTGCTCATTCCGGTGGGGACTATTCCAACTCAGTAAGCGGGAGGGAGTGGTCGAAACTATTTTTATACTAAAGGTGTAAGGGAAGCCACGCCCTTGCCTCCGCGTTCCTCCGCCCGTTCAACGGCCGCCTCACGTGATTGCAGGGTCGGTGGGCAGGGAAGTGAGATCGCTGCGCGCGAGCCGAGGGTTAAACGGCTACCCGGAAAAGACGGCGCTCTTCTCGGTTTTTTGTTTTCTCCACCGTTTGCTGACATGAGCTGCTACAGCCGCCGCCGCTGCCTCTGGAGTACCCTGGCTTGGACGCTGCTCCTGGCGATTCTCGCCTCTTGTCTCATTTCGCAGAGCAAAGCGACTGTCGAAGAAGGTAACGAGAGGGTCCGGGTGACGCGCTTCAAACGCCTGGGCTGACTTGAGGCGGCCCGTCGACTTGGCAGGAGGAGGCCTGGGCTGCTGCGCCCCGAGGGGAAGGGGTGGGAAAAGAAGGGAGGCGGCCTCTACGGCTCTCCCTTTGGCGCCTTCGGGTGTGTTTTAAGTTGGGGAACCGGCTGCCAGAATCGTGACCGGAGGAAGGTGGGTGGCGTGAGGCGGGTCGTGGGATCGCCGGAGGCGGACCCAGGAAGAAGGGTCTTCGCCGCCATCCCGCCACGCATGCTGCGGTACTCTTAGCGGGCTTGTCGGGCGTAAAGTGTTTCCTTTTGTCTGTGCAAAAGCAGCGCAATTTAACATCACGGAGCTGTTGAAGAGTAGTCACAGTCGCTACACTTGCTGGGTAAATAGGCTACCCGGCTGCTTTTCGGTTTATCGGGGAATTAATGGACGGCGGAGGGGCGGAAAGGCCGACCTATTTGAGCCTTGGGGGCATTTCATCATTCTGGACCCTTTGAGTCCCTTTAGCTCACCAGCAACGTCGACTCTGGCAACGCGAGTCGAAGGGAGGCAAATTAGAGCCGGAAGCAGCGGAGCTTTGTTTTGCAGTGAGGCGGCCTGTCAGCTCTGGATGAGGAGTGACCTAGCCGGAGAAATGCAGGTTTTGCCCTTCGCTTTCGACTGCTTTATGTAATTGTTTTCCTGCGGTAATGAGTTACAATATTAAGTCGATTTACCGGATGAGACTCAGTCCAGGAGGGGGGGGAAAGCTGGAATTTGTAATCGAAAATTTCTCCTCTCGTGCGAGAAGAGAGAAAGTGGGGGGTAATGGCATCTTTGGTCTGCTAACGTTTTCTGGATTATTTTCCCATGCCTTTCTTCCATCTTGCAGTTTCATCTTTACATCATTATTGGCTTGCATTGGGTATCAGCACACGTGGCAGAAGAAAAAATAATGGATCCAATCCTATTATGTAGGGTTTATCCAAGAAAGTCTTCTTCAGATCATTTGTCTGGTTTTGCTTTCCTCCTTCAGTGGTACAACTGATGGAGATGAATAAAGCAGGGAAATGGGGAGACTGAAATGTTCCCTCCCCGCCATGCTTGCTTGTGAACATGAAATCAGCCATTATAGTAGCTTTCATTGAGGTTGATCTAAATTATTTTTCTATGTTTATAATGCTTCATTTCTTCAACTATTTATACAGATAGATTACCTCTTAAAATGTATTAAAGATTATTGAAAATACTTTTCCACTACAGTATACTACAGTTCAGATTAATCTGAAGGACTTTTGGTAGGTGTTGGATTGTGTACGTAATACTGTGAACTGATAAACTTATTTTACTGAATTGAGAGCTGGAGGGGTAGGGCAAGATATATTGTACCAGAGTTGCTGGCATGTAGGACAAAAAGGAAGACTCATAGATAAATCAAATATTGAGTTAAAGCTTTGGCAATGAAATGATATGGGAATAAAAGTTGTTGGAATGGCAATACTGTATTAGTCATCCTGTTTTGGTATAAACGTAACATTCTAAGTAATGAGAAACAAGTTTTTCTAACAATTATTAACTTAGAGAACGTTTGTATTTGCTATACATTGTTGAATTATTACCTTATTTCTTCTTATCATTACTCCTTGTCTGTATTTGTAACAGTGAATTGTGATATAAAAACATGACGTGGTTTTTTTTTTTATTTGTCCAGGGACAAAAGTAATCTGGGCAACTTGCAAGCTAAAAGAAGCGCTACAGAATATAATTATCTTAATGGAAATTGTTTCTTAAGGAAAATAAGTTCTTTACTTAGAGCTGAAATGATGCTCATGAGGCCATTAGTCAGGCCTCTTTGGGAGGGCATTCCATAAATGAGGCACCATCACAGAAAAGACTCTCCCTTATAGAGACCCACCTCACCTCCTTTGTGGAGGGACCTGGGAAGGGCCTTATTAGAAGATACTAAGGTCTGGGTAGGAAGAAGGCACTCCTTTAGGCAACCTGGTCCTAAGCTATTGTGGGCTTTAAAGGTCAAAGCCAGCACTTTGAATAGGGTCTGGAAATGGAGCAGTAGCCAGTGTAGATGGCAAAGAACTGGAATAATCTGTTTGTATCAGCCAGTCCCAGTGAGCAGTCTAGCTGCTCTATTCTAAACCAGCTGAAGTTTCTGGACTGTTTTGAAGGGAGTCCCATGTACAACACATTGCAATAATCCATCTAGGAAGTTACCAGAATATGAATACTGTTGTAAGGCTGTCTCTGTCTAGGTAAGGTCATAGTAGGTAAATCAGCTGAAGCTGATGAAAGGCACTCCATGCCACAAAGACCACCAAGTATCAGTTTATTGCCCCTCATCCAGTCCCTTACCTTGCCCAAGCACTGGTTCAGAATCCCAGCTGTCTCACCTGTGTTAGATGAAGAGAGGTAGAGCTGGGTATAACCTGTATATTGATGGCACCTTAGCCTACATCTGTGGATGACCTCTCCTGGCAGTTTGATTTACATGTTAAAAAGCATAGGGAATACAATAGAACCCTGAGGGACTCTGTAGCCCAGTTGCCATGTGGAAGAACAGTAATTCCTCCTTCTGGAAAAGGTCCAAGTACAAGTGGAACCACTATACAACATTGTCCCATACCCCAACTCAGACACCCTGTTCAAGAAGACACCATGGACTATGCTATTGAAAGCTGCTGAGAAGACCTAGAGGACCAATAAGGTCACACTCCCCCTGTTTTTTTCCCTACAGAAGTATCCCACAGGGCAACAAAGAGGCTGGAACCACTCCCTCTCTCAGTGAGGCATTTATGACCTTCTGGCCTAGCCAAACAGCCCCTCTCTACTAATTTAATAAGCCAAGAATGGTAAGGGTTGAGTACACAAGTGGCAGACCAAAGCATACAGGTACAGTTGTGTGAAAAAGAAAGTACACCCCCTTTGAGTTCTATGGTTTTACGTATAAGGACATAATAAAAATCATCTGGTCCTTAGCAGTTCTCAAAAGTAGGTAAATACAACCTCA